CTATCGGGAGGAAGTGGGAGAGGAGATGTTGCATTGTGCTAAATTGTGGTCAATGTCATGAGACAAAGTGTATGTGATCTGCTGTATGGAAAGTGTATTTGCTCTGTAAATTTTCACCCAAATCACAATAAAAATAAAAATTAAAAAAAAATCTAACCCAGGCCTATACTTATATATTTATTTGTAATGTTTCTTAAATCTCCTCTAATCTGAAACAGTTCACAAGCTTTTATTTCTGCCTTAATGATGCTGATATTTTAAAGGTCTCACAAAATATCATGTGGGTTTGTTTTACTGTTCCTCATGGCACTGGGGATGCATTTCAAGCAAGAAAACTGTCTAGGAGATGCCATGGCCCTGAGCCATCACACCAGGGGCACTGTAACCATAATTCCAAGCATTTGGTGAAGGGATGTTCACAGAGTCCCTGACTGTATAGATATCCTTCCCCTCTTTGTAATTGAGAAGCAATCATTGTGATAATTTGTTCCCTCACAATCTTCACCCAAAGGTTGTAACACCTATTGACCTCTGAATTAATTCTACAAGTGGTTAAGTGCTTGAGCTCTAACCAGATGGTTAGCAATTTGAACCCATTCAACAACTCAGCAAGAGAAAGAACTACCCATCTGCTTCTATAAAGTTTACAGCCTAGAAAACCCTGCGAGGGAGTTCTATTTTGTCACATGGAGTTGCAATGAGCCAGAATTGACTTAACATCATCCAACTGCATATGACTGCAAACTATGATTTTTCTAGTTAAATCCCTTCTTTCACATCCATTAGTGGGCAATTTTCTGTAAAGAAGGGCCATCCCTTCTGTACCAGGCCCTTTTCTCTGTGTCTGCTGGACCCACAGTTTCCTTGCTTGCTTCCTGGCTTACATCCCACTCTGTCAGTCCTTCTGATGCTCAAATTGCCCCAAACCTGGCCCCTCAGAGCCTCTACAAGCTGTCTTCTCTGCTCTTACCTATACTTTCTGATGTGATTGTGCTAGTTTAGTTTTTTGTTTATTTGTTTGTTTGTTTACTTTAGTTATTTTGATGACTATTTTATATCCCATCTTCATCTAAAAGTAATGAAAGATGAAATATAATTACTTTTCCTAAAAATCCCAAAGCAAAAGTTTTTTTTTTTTTTTTTTTTTTTGGTTAAAGACCTCCCTCAGTTGTGTTTTCCATTCCCACATTCCTATAACTATCCATGGATAATAGATTCCTATCCTGACAAAGAACATGCAGTGAAATCAGGAACAGATATGACACCTACCTGCTCCTGGGACTTCAGGATCTTCATGGCCCTGAAGGTGTACTTGTCATCATCGGCTTTGTTGTACTCCTTCATGGCATACCATAGTGCCTGCTGCACATAGATGTAGGTCTCAGGGATATCTTGAAATTTTCTCACCACTTTTGGTGTGCCCCAGGCTTGGGGACTCCTGGACATGAGGGCCAAGAGGGACCCCAGAAGCAGCAGGATCTGGCAGGGGCTGGCCATAGCTATACATCCAGGATCAGAGCTGGAAGTGGGTTGAGTGCTGCTGTCACCTCTGTTGGGGCACAGGTCTCTTTCACAGCTTCTTGGAACACTGCTGGGCTAGAAGAGTGACCTATTGGTAAAGTTGTCTCTTTCAGGTTCTCCCTTTCCTCCCACTAAAAGAAGCTGAGTGAGAAAGCTGCAGTCATAGTGAGATCATTTTTCTCCTCTTGACATTTTCTTTTCTGGATAGATTCATACCACCACACACATGCATGCACATTCACGTACATGCATACATGGGCACTCACATGCACACACACTCACATTCACATATACAGAAAAGCACAAGTTCTGCAGCTCATGCTCCAACTGGAGAAGATAGTTCTCAGAACTGACCTCATTCTCCCAAAGCCTTCCCAAGGCATGGATGGATCATCAGCCTATATCCTAAGCCTTTATCAAGGCCTCAATACTGCACCTCTGCACCTTTCCCTTTCCCATCAAATCTCATTAGTAATCGCACTGGCATCTAATTGTTGAGTATTTTTGAGACTTAACAGGTTTTAGTTCAGCCACACATGGTGACATCATCCTGCCCTACATGTTGTTTGCTGGGGAAGTACAAATAAATCCACAGCTTTTCAGAAGGCTCTCAGTGTGCAGCAACATCAACATGACTGCACCTCTTCCATAGCTCAAGCTCATGTTACTAACTCTGTTCTTCATGTTACCTTCACTCTGTGCTCCATTCCAGTCCTCATAAGGATAATGTGGAAACTGACACAGCAGAGAGAGATGGTGATGTGGAGGCGCGAGCACCACAGAGTCTGGGCCAGGTGTTATGGTCCCTCCACCCTACCTTACTTGTATCTGTATTTTTAAGTGTTTTCATCTACTCCATTCCATTGCCTTGCTTCTCACTTCACATTCCAAATTGATTTAGTAAAATCTGTGATTAAGGCATCCGACTTCAGTCTGTGAGCCTTTCTACTCTGTAATAGCACCAGCATCTCTGGAGTAACTTAACCAGGATGTACTTGGAGGGAACCTTTGCTTCAAGTAATTTCTCACGTGACACAGCTACACCACAGACCTACCTCAGAATCAAGTTCTTCACCACATTTCTACTGGTGTAGGATTTGGTGTCAGGTCACAGATATATTTCTTCCTTAATGAGATCTTATACTCCAGGCCACTCCACCCCTCTGTTTACTCTATCTCCAGCAAACTCAGTACTTGCCCCTATACCTGGCTGGGGCCTCAGGCTGCATTCTGGGCTGCTTTTGCCCTCTGATGCCACTCCTTGAGTGATCACACCTTTTGCCCTTTGTGAGGTAAGCCCATTACTCTGCTGCTGAACAAGCACCTCAGACAGGGGTGCCTCCAGCCTATAGAAGTCTAGGCTTACAGAGAGTCACTGTGTCTGCCCTCAGTGGAGAAGTCCTCAGCCCAGTCTCATCTCCCTTGACTTGCTAAATTTCTGAGCTTTGGACTTAATATTTGAAGTGAAAGCATATTCAACTCCTTTTTTATTATTATATTCAAAGTACTGAAAGAAAAATAAATGTCAAGCAAGAATTATATATGGAGTAAAATGATCCTTCAAAAGTTGTACTTGCAAAAACGTTGAAATGACAAGTGTTTATTACACACATACTTACTCCAATTAAATAAATAAGACATAAAAGGTTTTTGTTTCATGATTACAAACAGAAGATCGCATTATCTCCCTCTATTACATGATTAAAAATTGGAGAGGATATACAACCAGGTTTATAGTCCTAAAAAAGAAAATGAAAGAGAAATTAACGTATTCCCTGATGAACTGATGAACAAAAGCAGGTAATTCATCAAGAGCAGGCCTGCTCTACAAAAAATTCTAAAGTTAGATTTTCAGATTAAAATGAAGGTGTGCTGGACAGTAACTCAAATCCACATAAAGAAATAAAAAAACTGGTAATGGTAACTCCATTAGGTAAACATAAAAGACTGTATAATTGTATTTTTTACTTATTTTATCTTCTATATTTTAAAAAGACAACAGCAAATTAATAATTATGAATCTATGTGGATGGATATGTAATATATAAAGATGTAGTTCTATAATAATAACAGCATAAAGGATGAGAGTGGAAGAAATATGTGTGAGCAAAGTGTTGTATAATTTGAAATTAAGTTGGTGCTAACTTGAAATGGATTATTATAAATTAATATGTTAATACTAATCCTCAGAGAACACTAACATAATAACTCAAAATATATACCAAAAAACATGTTAAGTAAATCAAAATGGTACAATAGAAAATATCTATTTAAAACAAAAGAAGGTATTAATGAAAGAATAAAGATTTAAGACAGAAAAAATAGCAAGATGATAGATATATATTCTACCTTATCAGTAATTATATTAAATGGAAATGGACTATATACTCCAGTCAAATGGCAGAGACTAACAGAATAGACTTAAAATATACTCTCTATGATACATAAAATTTAGATTCAAGGACAAGAATAAATTAAAAGTAAAAAGGTAGAAAAAGATAAGCCAGGCAAACAGTAACCAAAAGAAAGCTGGAGTGGCTATACTAATTGTGATGATTAATTTTATGTGTCAACACCATGTCGGCTGGTCATGGTATCCTATTCTGTGATCAAACACTAGTCTAGATGTTGCTATGAATGTATTTACATGTGATTAGCATTTAAATTAGTTGATCTTAAGTAAAGCAAACAAAGTGTGAGTGATCCTCATCCAATCACTTGAAAGTATTAAGAGCAAACACTAAGATTTCTGGAGGAAAAAGGATTCTGTCTCAAGACTGTAAATAGACATCCTGCTAGAATTTCTAGCCCACTCTCTGGCCTACAAATTTCAACTGCAAGACTGCTGGTGTTTCCAGCTTGTTGTCTGACCTACAGATTTTGGACTTGCTAGTCTCCACAATTGTATCACCCAATTCATTAAAATCTTTGTCTCTCTCTCTCTCTCTTTCTCGACACAATGGTTAAGCTCTCCATCACTAACAGTGCTTCAAACCCTCTGACTGTCTGTGGGAGAAATATGCAGTAGTCTATTTATATAAAGATTTATAGTGTTGGAAACTGTATGAGGTGGTTGTATTCTGTTTTATACGATCACTATGAGTCAGAATAAGACGTGATGGCAATGGCTAGATCTATCTATCTATCTACCTGCTAAAAGCTTATTAGTCAAATTTTTTTTAAAGAATCCTAAGATACTAGTTTCAGACAAAACAGACTTTAAGCTAAAATTGTTACTAGAAATATAAAAAACCAGTTGTGATGGAGTCAATTCAACTCATGGTGACCCCATGTGTATCAGAGTATAACTGTGCTCCATAGGATTTTCAATGGTTAATTTGCTGAAGGTAGGTCATCAGACCTTTCTTTTAAGCCACCACTGGGTGAACTTAAACTTCCAACTTTTTGGTTAGCAGCAGAGCACTCTAACCATGTGTGCCACCCATGGACTGGTAATATAGAAGGATATTTTATAGTGAAAAGAAGCTCACTCCATCAAGAAACTGTAGTGATTATAAACATACATGCATCTAACAATAGAGTCCCAAAGTACAAGAAGCAAAAAAAACTGACATAATTAAATTTCTCCCTTCAAGGCAGAAATAGACAACTCAACAATATTTGGAGACTTTAATATTTCACTTTCAATAATATATAGAACAAATAGATCCACAAGTAAAGACAAGACTTGAACAACATTATAAATCAAGTATACCTAAAAGACATTTATAGAACATTACAACAAAAAATACAAAATATACATTCTTAGGAAGAGCACACAGATCATTCTCCAAGATAGATCTTATTAAGTCTTAAAATAAATCTCAATGAAATTGAAAGAATAGAAATAAAGCAAAGTATGTGATCCATCTACAATGGAATGAAAATGTAAATCAATAATGGAAGAAAATTTGTGACATAAACAAATATGTGGATATTAATCAACACATTCCTAAATATCCAGAGAAGAATGAAAAGAAAATCACTACAAACCAAAAGTTATATGATTCAGTGAAGGGAAATGTTCTATGATTATATGATTCAGAGGGAAATGTGTAGCAGTAAACATCTATATTGAAAAAGAAGAAAGATCTCAATCAATAACTTAAGTTTACACCTGGAGGATATAAAAAAGAGAGAGAGAGAGTAAACAAAACCGAAAGCTAACAGTAGGGAAATAAATAAATAAATGAGAGATAAATTAAAAAGAGAATAGAAAAACAATAGAGAAAATCAACAAGACCATAATTTGGTTCTTTGAAGAGATCAGCAAAACTGACAAAACTTTATCTAGACTTACCAAGAAAGAAAAATAGGGAGGACTCAAATCACTAAAATCATGAATGAAAGAGGAGGCATTCCTACCAACCTAACGGAAATAAAAAAGATTTTAAGGGAATACTATGAACATGTTATGCCAACAAATGTGGTCATATAATTGGAATGGGAAAATTCCTAGAAAGACACAAACTACCAAAACTGACTCAAGAAAAAATAGGAAATGTTAAGAACACAATTACAAGTAAAGAGAATAAATATTTGATCAAAATACATCTTAAAAAGAAAAGCCTAAGACCAGATGCCTCAATGGTGAATTCTACCAAATATTTTAAAAGAATTAATACAATTCTTTTTCAAAGTATTCCAGAAAGAAAGAAGACTTACAGGAAGAATCTGCTCAAGTAGATGCCCTGATGCAACATCTCCACAGTCAGCAGCACCCAACCCCGCACCTCTGTTACTGGTGGGGTGTGCGCCCATGGGTCAGTCATCATTCTTGCTGGAGCTGTGTTGGTTGCCTAGTGCTTGCACAAGTACTGTGCTATTTTCTTCTTCTTTTCCTTTCTTTCTCACTTTCTTTTTTCCTTCTTTTTTAGCTTGCTCCTTTTCTCCCATTTTCTTTTTTTAAACTTATTTCTCTTTCTGCTTTCTTCATCATGAGTTGGGAGCCAGAGATCCTACCTGACCATATTCAC